GCCGCCTTCCCGGGCCGTCCTGGCTCCGAGGATGGGCTCTCGGATGTCACCGGACCTGGAAGGAAGGAGGGTGCGGATGACGGTCCCGGTCCCGTTGCGCAGCCCTCCAGCCGGGGCTGCCCTTCCCATAAAGTCAGGTGCGGGTGCTGGAGAGGCTAGCACGGGAGGTACGCTGCACCTCTGACAGCCCCAGGCCCTGCTGGCAGAGGAAGAAGAGTCCCTTGATCCTTAGGGTCGTCGTCCCTGGGATCCGCCAGAGAATCCGGGGAAATACCTTGAGCCTTAAGGCCAGGGTAGGAACCTGCGTGGCTCGCCACCGGTTTCGAAATACCCTGGAGGATCAGGCCTGGTGCAGGGTCTTGGGCCTTGGAGCCAGGTCAGCCTGGCTGGGCACAGCTGAAATGAGCCGGGGACACACCCCATCAGCACCTAGGCAGGTGTCTAGCTACTGCCCCCACCTTCCCAGGTGCACAGCCAGGTGTCAGAGTAACTTCCTGCCCCCCCCCAGGGTGCGAAACTGCATCCCTCTCTGCGCCCACCCCAGAGCCATGTCCCCAGCCAGGCTGACCTGGCTTTGTCACTGACAGAGGGACCACTCCACGTGCCCTACCCGGGGCTCGGTGCACAGAGGTGACCTGTCATTGCCAAGTCTGAGGCTTTCTGTTACCTCCCTCACCCCAACACGGCAGTAGCCGTGTGATAATGAGCCCTGCGTATTAGTGACTTTTCAGTGGCTGTAATGAAACACCTGTGGCTGGAAACTGTACAAAGAAAAGAGGTTAGTCAGGCATGGTGGTGCATGCCTATAATCCCAGCACTGAGCCCAGGCTGAGGCACTGTGAGTTCGAAAGCAGCCTGGACTGCATAGTGAGTTCTAGGTCAGTCTCAACTACACAGTGAGACCCTGTCTCAAAAAACCAAAAAAAAAAAAAACGTGTACAAAAAAAAAAAAAAAAAAAAAAAAAAGAGGTTCCCTGGTTCATAGTTCAGGGGTTCAGGGACACGAGGTCAACATCTGCTCCACTCTGATGAGGACCTCAGCAAATTGGTATCATGATGGAGGCACAGAGAGAGGGAGCAATCCCAGGTGAGACCGGAAGCCAGAGCCAGCAGAAGAGAACTGCCTCAGGGTCACTCCAAAGGTCACCGACTCCAGCGGCCTTGTTGGGCACAGCCTAGTAAAGGTCCCACTGCCTCTTAGCATCACCCCACTAGGGCCTGAGCTCCCCGCATGGAACTTTGGGGGATGAACTGCAACCAACCGGGTCCACCACCGCCTAACTGAAGCCTGTCTGTCCCCCTTCCTAGCTGTGCCACTGGGGACAAGGAGCTTAATCCTCAGGGCCTCAGTTCCCCCATCTATTAAGCAGATCAACAGTATCTCCATCGTGGTGGTACTGTGAGAGTCAAATGAGCTATAATTACACATTTTTTTAAAACTGCCAGTTATTCTTGCTTTGACTTCTAATTCTGCACCTTGTCCTCTCTGCCCTCAGTGGCCTGTGCTGCACCAGGGCAAGGTGCCAGCCCCCCTCAATGGCCATCTAGGGCTCAGAGTGGCTGACAGCCTTCATCCTGGGCCTAGTGAGCCTCTGTGTAGCTCGGAGACCTGAGAAGGGGGACCCAGGCTGCAGGGCTCCCTGCACAGTGGGGACAGCTGTGGGTGCCCGGCTCATCCCCAGCGTCTGCACCGCCAGGCGGATGCCAGGACAGGTGTAAGCCAGGCTGTGTGGGCGGCCACTCCGAGGCACCTGGGAGGCCCTTTCTGGACCTCTGCCTCCTTTTCTGTATCTTGGCAGGAATAACAATTTGTTCCTTTTTTAGCTCCAAGATTTGGTGTATAGACAAGACAATTTTTCAAATGATCCCCAGTTGGTTCCCATTTCTAGATTTTAGCTCAGAGCATTTCACTTCTGTTCCACCAACAGGCATCGAGTCAGCAGAAGGGCGTTTCTTCTCAGCTGGATGACCATCTCCAAGATTTTGGGAACTGCAGATCCCTCGTTTTCCTCTCTCACAAGCCAGGCTGTTCTGAAGCAAACAAACCGGCCCAACCCTAGAAGGGCATTAGAGTGGTAAAATATTTAGGACAAGCATCATCCCTGTCTAGCTGGAAGAGACTCCTAAGGCCAGCTGGTGGCCCCAGTGTTTTCCATCAGCATTCTCACCCTCCTGCCCTGAGCACAGGCCCAAGGAGAAGGGAGCACCTGGAGGCTTCTAAAGAGCACATCCAGTCAGATGCAGAAGCTAAAAGCCCAGTCTTGCTTGGGAGGAAATGCAGATCAGGTGAAGCTTTATCTTAGCATTGAGGGCTTCGCGTAGGGTGAAAAGCCCTGTCCCAATTACACCTGCCCACTGAGTAGGGGTCCAGTGGCACCAGCCACTGGGCAGGGGCAGAGCCTGTCCCTAGGGCTCCTGGCTTCTTCCTTATTCCCACCTGTTCATTTACCTACATACATGGCAGGTATGTCAGGGTCCCCAAGGAGGCAGAACCAACAGGAAATAGAAACATCTCAGAGGGACTTATGAGGGGGAGTTTCACAAGCTGTTAGGGCGGGCAAGAGGGGCCCTGACAGCCATCTGCGAGCTGCACACCCAGGGGCACTGGTATCGTGGCTCAGCCCCAGACCAAAACCCTCAGACCCAAGGATGCAATGGTACAACTCTGAGGCCAAGGAGCAGAGAACCCAGGGGAGGCTCGTGTGAGTTCTGGGGTCCAAGGTAAAGAGCCGGGAGCTCAATGCCCAAGCGCAGGAGGAGGAGAGGGTCCCTCCTTCAGGAGAGAAATCCTCTGTCCTTTTCTGCTGCACCCGAGGCCCCAGGAGACTGAACAGCACACCCCATCCCCAGAGAGGGCAGATCCGCCCCTCTCAGTCGTGCCTCACCATCAGCTCCTTGGCTGTCCCTTCTTCCAGCCAGGTTGCACCCACAGTCCCCCAGCATACAGACCTCACCGGCCTCTGTCCACCTGCATCTGCCCCCGCCCATAGGCACCTACAAACCTCTCTGAAACCAGAGCTGACCTGCATGGCCAACTGCCCGTGTCCAGGGACTCTCGTGCCCTCAGCCAGCCCTATCCCTGGAAGAAGTCCCTGCTCCTCAAAGGCAGTCCGGTTCTCCCGGCAGCTCTGCCCCCTCTCCCTCCCTCCTGCTGATGGGGAGTGGTAGTGGTGTTGTCATTGCAGCCCAGGCCCCTCTGAGCCCCACAACCTGGCCACGTCATTATAAACAGCACCTCCAAATAAGGCTGCCCCAAATGAACCCCCTCTTTGACTCTTCTCTGGGAAGAACTGGATGATGATGAAGCTTTCCCTTCCCTTCTGTCTCTGTCTCTCTCAATCACTGAAATTCTACAGCAGAAGAGGCCTTTTTCCCCCAGTACTGTGTGTTGAACCCAAGGCCTTCACAGTGAGCTACATCCCAAGCCCTTTTTAATTTTCTTTTTTCTTTTTAGGCAGCATCTTGCTGTGTCACTGAGTTGCCTGGGCTGGAAGTTGCCATGCTCCTGCCTCAGCCTCCCAGAGTGCTGAGATCACAGCCGTACACCACCGCGCCGGCTTCCAATGATCAGCTGAAGCGACTGTGCTCATAGCGGCTAATGTGTGGCAAACCCTGACACCACAATGCGCCTCTAGATGGTTCTGGTCCTGGTCCAGGGTGGGCTCCGCTGTCTCTCAGACAAGGCCACCGCTGGCGCCAGCTGTGAAGACGATGGTGGAGAGAGGTCACTGGAAGACAGGAAAAAGGCAGGAGCTTCGAGCACATCACCCCGCCCCGAGTTTCTGCCCCTTTCTTCCATGATTGTAGGCGAGTCCTGCTAGCCTCGCGGCCTGGGACAAAGCACCTTCTCCAGACTGTTTCCCCTTCCCTGAAATGAGGCTGTGGGGCCAGCGTGAGCAAAATCCCCTTCAGCTCTAAAGTCCCCTCTCCTGGTCACTGTCACCTGGACGAGAATAGCCCGGGATGAATGAGAACCCAGACAATCCAGGGCATGTTGAGGTCAAGCAAGTTATTGCAGGGGACCTGGGGAGTAAACTTCAGGGATC